GGGGGGGCCCTTGGCTTGGCTGGGTTTGGCTGGGTGGACTCCGTCCCCCCCAGTGGTGGGGGTGGCTTTCCCTTCGTGAGGGACATTCCAGAACCGTGAGCCAGGCATGCTCCCAGCAGACACAAGTGGCTCTGGCAGCACTTGCTGTCTGGAGTCTCAGTCCCGGGGCTGGCCTCGCCCCGACCCGTGGGAGGAGGTGGTCTCTGTTCCCTGAGAGCCACCCAGGGCTGTGGGACCTTCGCAGGTGTGAGCCCGTGCCTTCCGGGCCGGCCCTTGTGGGCTCGTCCTCGGCCAGCCAGCTGGGCCGTTAAAACTCATCGTCTGGCTAGTGGCCAGCCCTGTGCTGTCAGCTCCGGTGGCCGCTGAGTGGACTTGTTTGTTTATGGGTGTCTGGAGCCTGTAAGCTGCCGGTGGTCACCGGTGTTGCGGCCCTTCGGCCGGGGCTGAGGAGCCAAGGAGACCGGCCCCAGCAGCTGTCCCTGTGCGCAGGATGCCCGGGGGTGCTGGACTGCGGTGCCCTCCCAGGCCCTGGTCGCCATGGGCCTGGGCTCTGGCAGCCCACAGTCGGGCAGCAGGGCTGCTGCTGAGGACCCTCTGCGCCCACCTGCCCTCGTTGCCTCTGCAGAGACCCACCCCCGCCCCCCGAAGCCCGACCCTGTGAAGAGCGTGTCCGGCGTGCTCGGTGGCCTGACCCCAGCCAAGTCGGCCCCCGTCATCAACAACGGCTCCCCCACCATTCTGGGCAAGAGGAGCTACGAGCAGCACAACGGGGTGGACGGTGAGTCCGGCGGGGCCTTGGGCTTGGCCAGCACGGCCTGTGTCCCCGGGGCACCCGGCCCCGGCCCCCACCGCGCCCGCACCCGCTGACCGTGTGTTCTCTCCTCTCTCCTGCCGCCGGGCGCTGCCAGGCAACGTGAAGAAACGCCTCTTGATGCCCAGCAGGGGTAAGGCCCGGCCCTCCGCGCGCGCCTGTGTGCGCCGTGCTCACGCGTGCGCGGCGGACGGCTCAGGGCACGTCCAAGGGCAGTCCACGCGGGCTGGGCCGCATCCTGCTGCCCCGGCTCCTCCCGATTGACCTGTCGCTCGGCAAAGATGGGAGCGCTGCCCCTCGGGCCCCCAGCTCGCCCGCACACTGCCTCCTGCCCCGGGGCCTCCGGCTCGTGGGCCGCCCCTCCTGCCGGGCCCAGCGCTGGTCAGTGGACTGTCCTCGCTCCGGTGGCCCTGGTGCCCCCGCCGCCCACCTGTACTGTCTGCCGTTGTGCTGCGACTGTCCGCATGCCGCCAGCCTCAGCTTGCGTGGCCGCCTGTGCTGTGCTTGCAACCCTGCCTGCGCCCCTGCCCCAGTGGGGGGCTTTGGGACCCTGGTCTCCTCGGGGGGCAGGTGGGACAGAGCTGTGGCGTGGCCGGCATGGCTGAGTGGGGGTCGGCGAGGCCCGGGTGGACGCTCAGGTCAGGGCCCCACAGGGAGGCGTGCCCAGGGCTGAGGGTCTCAGAGCTGAGGCAGCAGCAGCGCCCTCTCCTGAGTGGGGTGGGATGCTCGTGGGGTGCACGCTAGGGCAGCCCTCTGTGGGACCCTCCTGCCGTCGGCGCCTCTGGAGTGTGGCTCCTCTCACCTGCCCAGGGCCCGGCTTCTGCCCCCTCAGCTGGGGGTGGGGTGTTCGTGGGCTGGGGCTGCTCTAGGAGGGTGTAGCCACTGTGGCAGTGTGGGATGTGCCAGACCTAGGTGTCCCAGGGCCCCCCAGGGGTCTGCCTGCGGCCGGACCCGTATGTGTGTGTGGGGGCAGGGGGAGGTGAACAGGGAACCAGCTGAAGGGAAGAACGTGGCAAGTGCACTCAGAGCCCCTCCTGCCAGCCCCTCGTGACGGCGAGGTCAGGTCGGGTGTGGGTACCCCAGCTCCATAGGGCAGCCAGCATGGACACTCCCCAAGCTCAGGACTGGAGGGCTACTGGCCCCGGGGGTCTGGCCGAGGCTTGGCTGTCCTGGGATCTGTGGGAGGTGGGCCGGACGTGGGGACCCGGGAGGTAGCAGCGGCCAGTGGCCACCCGGCCCAGCCCTGTCCCCTGGATGCTCCCTCTCTCGGCTGTGTCTGGGAGCCCCAGCAGGCACATCCTGAGGGTCAGCCGGTGGTACTGGTGCCGGGTCCTGCCGTCTCACCCCATCTGGACACAGGCTCTTGCCTGCACCAGGCCCCCCCTGTCCCGGCTGCCTCACCCACGACCCTTCGGTGGGGCTCCGAGGGCAGGGCGCTGGCTTGCTGACCTCCCCCCTCCCCACCATAGCCCTCGGGCGGGGAGGCTGCTGCAGCCCCTGGTCCCAGCGGCTGGGCTGGCTGCTCATCTGCCCCTGCGACAGGTGCCCTGGGGATGGTCTGATCACACCCACAGAAGGGGGTGAGGGGCTGTGTGCTCATCAGCAGGCAGCTTTGGGTTTTGGGGTCCGACCTGTGGAAAAGCCGTTAGGTAGCGGGAAGGATGCAATCCTTTTGCTTCTGTCGGGTTTTCCGAGATCGACGTGCTTCCGTACCTATCTACTTCCGCCCCAGCGTGCAGGTCCCGGGTGGGGGTATCGGGGGCTGCACATGAGCCCTGGGAGGAGGCCACAGCTGGCCTCCTGGGGTGCTGTGGGGCAGCCGGGGCAGCAGCGGGTGGCGGGAGCTGGCTCTGGGCGAGGCCCGGCCTCTGGCACCGGTGGGGCCTTAATGGGCTAACCGGCCCACGGACGCGCCTGCGGCTGCATTCACCCTCTGGGCCCGCCGCATGCACGCGCTCCCCTGTAACGCTGACCGTGTGCTTTCTTTCCTCCGCCACCCATCCCTCTGGTAGGCACCTACCTGGGTAAGTAGCACGGGGCCTCGAGGGCTGCAGGCCGGGTGCCGCAGCCCCTCCCTCTGCCCTGCCGGGCTCGGGGTACTCCACGTTAGGAGGCGGTTTGCAAAGGGGAGGGCTGGACAGCTCTTCTCTGCTCGTCAAGAGACGAACCGTGGCCAAGGGGCACTTTTGGGGGGAGCTGGTCCTGGGAAGCCTCTGGCAGGATGCAGGTGGTGGAGACCAGCCCTCACGGCCGCGCGCTCCCACGGCCTCCCACAGACTCGCCTCACGTGTGTGTGGGAGCCACAGGTCGTGGGCGCCGGTCGGGAGTGTGGACCGCGACCTGGGACGGCGCCTTTCGCCGGTCACTGGCAGCTGCTTGTGGCTCCAGACCCCCGGCCATGGGGTGGAAGCGCTGGAATCCTGGCCGGAGCCTGGCCTACTGGCCACTCCTAGGAGCCTCCATCAGCTCCTCCCTGGGTGGCTGGCCCCAGGGCTTGCGAGGGGGGCTGGGGGCCCCTCGGGAGGAAGCCCAGGGTGGCCCGGCCTCCTGGGGCCTGAGTGGTGCTGCCCGGGGAGTGGCCGCCTTGCAGAGGGGCTCCCCGGAGCCACTGTGTTTATACCCACTGTAGGCCAGGCCCCGGTTGTCGCGGCCCAGTCAAGGGAGCGAGCTCAGATCCGAGACTCCTGGTCCCCACCCCGAGCGCCACCTGGGCGTGGGCTGTGGCTCGGGGGACCCGGCCCCGGGCCTCCTGCTCCTCGGCTGCGGGCCCTCAGCGGGGGTGCTGAGGGCAGGACGCGCCCCGCAGCTCACAGCCTGCTCTCCTTCCTCTTGTCAGGTTTGGCGAATCACGGACAGACCAGGCACATGGTGAGAGGGGGCCCCCGTTCTCCACGCGTGTGCACACGTGTGTTCCCACGGCTCCTGTGGGCCTTTGGGGGAGGCCCCCCAGCCCTGTCAGGCGCTGCACGGGAGCATCTGGGAGGCCCAGTGGGACCAGAGGAGGGGCAGGTGGCGGGTCTCCACGGCCCTCGGAGGGCCCCCTCCCCACCCGGGGTGGCCAAGCCTCCATGCTCCCCGCTGGGACCGCCGCCTCGGGCTTTCTGGGCGCCCATGTGGAGGCCCCGGGCTGACCCCTGGCGCCTCCCCACCGCAGGGACCAAGCCGGAACCTGCTGCTCAACGGGAAGGCGTACCCCACCAAGGTGCGGCTGATCCGGGGGGGCTCCCTGCCCCCCGTCAAGCGGCGGCGGATGAACTGGATCGACGCCCCCGACGACGTGTTCTACATGGCCACCGAGGAGACCAGGTGGGGCCTCCGGGGACAGCGGCGGGCAGGGGGCAGGGGCCACCGTGTCTGCGTCACTCGTCCGCGTCACTCGGCGTCTCGCTCACAGGAAGATCCGCAAGCTGCTCTCGTCCTCCGAGACC